GTTAGCAGCTGACTCCTGCGTGCTCTGAGGGGGAGGGGGGCTGGGGTGCCTTCTCCCTCCCTGCGCTTTTGACTGCACGATTCTGCAGCTTTGGGAAAGGGTTCCCCGGCGCGGCTGTCCACACCACAGCCCTTCACCTTGGTGGTTTCGCTGAAATGGCTCACAGAGCCATTTCCAGAGTGGATCACAGAGACAAGAAGGACAATGCAAGTCACAAGACTGAGTTCTGCAACTGCAGCCCTCCATAAGTTTTGCCTCTTTCCAGAGAAGGGCTTAAAGCTGTAACTCGAGAAAGACCTGATGGTCTCGCAATTTACCATTGGAATGGGAGGAAAAGTCACCAAGGATCTCTTCTTGCTTGGCTATGTCCACCACAAAGTCTTCAAAAGTAGATTCAGCTGCTGGCCTGAAGCTCTTCAGAGATTCAGTAGCTTTTTGGATTCTGAAAGCACAGAGGCAGACGGATGGCAGAAGAGAGAAAAGGGAATTCATATGTGTGCATTCCTTAAAGTAAAAATTGTAGTTTCTGCTTTAAAAAAAGTTCTCTTTTCACGTACTTACTGATGTCTCCCAGAAATTTCTGTCTCTCTAGACAGAATTCAAATGCAAAACTTAAAAGCTTTTGGTACATCAGTGTAAAGATAAGGAACGGGTAATTGTTCAGTTGGCAGAGTATTTTAACAGTTTGGGCCACTGTGTTGAAAGAACAAAATAGGTATGAAGCACTAATGGAACAACAACTATTAAGATCAAAGAGTTTAAAGCCAGAAGAGACCTATTAGATTAACTTGCAAATACCAGATACAAACCCTGAGCAATGCAATGCACCGGAGAGCTGAACGGGCTACCCTTCCACTGCAGTCCTAACGAACCAGGGTAGGCGCTGTCGCAGCACAGAGCCCCTCCTGTGTGCTGTTCCGTAACACATGCTGTAACGTAGTAATTTCTACCGAAAGTACTGGGACTATCTCTGAGCCTCTGCAATACAAGGTACTGCATTCAGTACTTTGCTAGCAGGTGCCAAAAGAACATGACTGACCAGCCACCCTGGAACAGTACCTGTACCTCAAACAGAAGATAATCAAGATACCTGACATGAAGTTGTTTTGCTGTTTGAACAAAACAAGATGGATCAGTTTCTTTTAGCACTTCCTGAGCATATCCTACAAGGCCATTATTTTCCAGAAGCCCTTGATATTCTTCTGCTTGCGCCTGCAATTTTTCCAGCCTTAAATTCTTAGAAATTTCAATTGCCCTAAGAGCTGCAGATTTCTTCTCTTCCAGGATGTGAGATAATTTCTCAAAACTCTGAGATACTTCTTCTTTAGCTTTTTCACTGTTGCACTAGGAGGGAACAGAAGATGTTTTAGACGGGTTCCACAGCACAGTGGCTGTGTACAGAAACATACTTAAGGTTGTTCAAGATATCATAGCCATCTAGCCATTCTGTCTGTTTGACAGACAAGACTAACGAGCTTTGTTATGCTCTTCAGCACTGAAAATGCAATCAGCACTGCACTGAAGCTCATAAGCATTTACTGTTTTATCACAGAGAACAAAGAACAGAAAAGCATTCCTCTGATTATGTCTTGAGTTATGCACAACATCTGTGTGAACAGCTCCTGGAAAAGCACTGTAAAAGCAGGTCAGCCTCTGAAGTCCTGACGCCCAAGAGCTAAGTGCTCTTCCACCACCCCCAATCGTCCTGAACTGGGGGTCCAGCCCAGTTTCTCACATACGCCCTCAGAACTGTAGTGCCACCTCTGACTAGTGCCCTGGATAAAAGGAATTACAAAGCATGGAAATAATCTGTATCAAGACAGAGGCAGAGACAGGAGCTCCTGCCATATCTGCCATCATGTTTTTCAGCTTGTATGTGAACTCCCAGCTGTGACTCTTCTGCAGGGAGACTTTGGCCTTAATTCTGACTTCACTGCAACATCCCCAAGGTAAACAGACAGCGTAAATTGTGCAGCACCATTAATACACAAGAGCTGTAAGTCTAACTCACCCCTCTTTGGTTAAGTTATCAAATAAGCTTTATTTCAATTAAATTTACAGCAGCATCCAAAATTTCACTTCCCTCTGTGTGTCACCCAAATTTCCCACACTGTCAGGATCAAGTCTGACCATGTGTGATTCAGTACTAACACAAACTGGTCAGAAATTATTTTACTGGCTAATGGAAAAACCCAAAAGATTGAAACACTTCACTGAAAACAGTTCGAGTCCCTGCCGCATCCCTGCAAGAGGCATCCCCAGAGAACCCGCAAGCCACTCTTACCTCTGTTTCTTTCAGCAGCAGATCCAGCTGCGTGATGTGTGCTTTCACCTGGCTCTCCTTACTGATGAGGTACTCAATATCTTTCGAAAGCTTCTCCTGTTAAAATAAAACAGCAAGCTGGCAGAATAAGGGTATCCCACCGAAACTGACAACCAGCGCAGGCAGGTCACCCAGCCAGCGCTCGGTTTATCAAGCTACAAGGACAACTGCCTGCCACTCGTTACGAGCAGCAACCCCTGCAGAAAATTGCTCAGTGACCTGCAGTGACTGCCCAGTGACATCAGGCCATGCTGTGACCAGGACTGGGGGCACAGCCTCCAAACACATAAGAGCCTCAGATGGCTCGTTCTTCCCTAGCCACAGCAGTCACACTCTCTTAGGCTAGGATCATGAGGCTTCAGGACGTTACTTTTTCTTGCAGAAAAGACTCGTTAGTTATTAACTCATTTGTAGTAAGATTTGCTAGAAAAGTGAATGGTTCAAAGCACGAACTTATGGGTGTCTCTGCATTTCCATAGTTGCAAGAGTTAACGGCTGTACAGGAAACGCCTTGCAAACAGGCAAGGAGGCCAAAGAGCACCAGGCAGGCTGCTCAGGTCTTTTTTTTTTTTTTTCTTCTGTGAGCAAGGGAGGAAGAAAAGGAAGAAGAGGAGGTAGCAGCAACCATTCTTTAGTCACAAAGCAATGTTTGCAAGTCTTCCCTGTTGTCCTGTGCTTAGGGAATTAACAGCTATGCAACTTCAGAAACACGCAAGGTCCCAACAGATACTTCGGATGCAAATTTTTCAGGAGTGCTTCTGAAGTATCAGTTAAGCCAAGCCACAAGGCCACTTATCTTAAGAAAGTTAAATTGTAAAGTATTAACTGCTTAAACTTTCTGCATTGATCAGTACTGCTGTACAGTTCACTAAGATAGGTGGGACCTCTTTTCAGGGGTTATGTCTCAAGCCTCACAGAAAATACAGTTTAGTTTCTCAGACATGCACTATGTCACACTGATACATACATTAACAGATGTTGCACAACAGCATGCCTCATGACTAGTTCAGTGTCCTCTGAACACACGTCTTGGCTTCCTGCCATAGGGAGTTTGCCCTTATACCAGAAGCTCGGTACTCTTCCCCTTCTTCAGGCCAGGTCCAACAATGTTTACTTTTACCTTAAGGGTTTTGTAGGCAGTGCTCATAGTTGTTACTCTGTGGTTTGCATGACATCCACCTAGTTTACAAAGATGACAAACAGGCCTTCTGCAGATTTCACAGTACATGTTTACCCTCTCCATTTCATGTTCTGGACACATCAAAATCTAGGGGGGGGGGGAAACAAAAAAAAAGATAGCAGAGAGAATGCAAGTGAGAACGCAGATGTACTTCCAAAAACTGAGGTGCTCAACAAACCATCAAAACACTTCATCATCCCACAACAGTGTCTGATTTAATCAGTGGATTTTTTACACTCACTTTATCTTTCACCTTTTACATTTGTCCATGCTAGTGAAAGCCAGCAGATGAAAACACAGTTTCCTGAGGTTTACAGTGAGTGAACCTGTAGCAATGTCTGTGCACACAACACATAGCCTCCATACTGCAGTCAACCATTTTGCTAATCCCAGAAGTTGATTGCACGTCTGAAGCTCCCTACAATCTTGTTCAGAGCTGTAAATATAGTATATAACACAAATTTAACCATGTCCATGCCAGCACCTCTGGAAACAGCTGCGAACTGTTTCTTAAAGCAAGAGTTGAACATAACAAAGTAATGCTTTAAGTCTAAACTAGACTCTGATCAGCCACACAGCCATTGCTCTCAGACCAACAAATGAAATGCAGCCACCACCACCAGTCACAGTCATTTTAAAGACAAAAGGCTCCAGTGTTTCCATTTTTCTGTCTGACTCCCATCACAAGTTGTTCATGTTGCGCACTAATTACTTTATCAGCTTAAACAGCATTGCGAAAAAGCTGGTGCTCACTGAAAACCATCTTTCAAAAACTGAACGTGTTGAAATAACTGCTTGAGGAGGAAAAAAAATTGCTGCTGAACTCCAAGCTCAAGCAACAGATGAAATCATTGGAGGGTGTTAAAAAAAAAACAGCACAGGCTTTGCCTCATTCTGGAGTACTGAAAGACAACATTTGGGTTCGTCTACTCCATGTTAACAAATAAGGGCTCTCGAAAAGCTTTTCAGTTTCATGCCAAGGAGAAGAACAAGATAGCAGTGCCAAGAGTCAAGCTTTGAAAGTATTATCTTTTAACACACACACACACCAAAAAAAAAAAAAAAAAAAGGGCAGTAAAGCGCACAAAACCAGAAAAGTGTGAATAGCATAAGTATGGACACAGTAAGCTAAAACTGCAGACCATCTTCGAAGCCAACTCTCAACGCCCAAATGTTATCTTAAGCTACGGTGAAAAGCCCAAAGACACCAGTCTCACCAGCACCTTGGTACATAAGACTATCATTAAACAGAATATGCAGTAAGCTATTCCATTCTCACTGACTGCTGGATTGGGAGGGGGGGGGGCGCAGGAGGAAATCTTCAGGAAAACCAGTTGTGCAGGCAGACATCTCCAAAAACTGCAGTCATGCTGTTAGTCTGTGGCAGTAATTTTTCCACAGCAGTGCACAGTCACACCTAACAGAAACCACATATTTTTATTCATCTCCTTGTGTAAGCAAGAATTACAGCCTGCAAGCTAGAGACACAGGAGGTCAGCACATTACCTTGTCTAGCTCCCTCAAAATGCAAGAACAATCAGCCCAGTATGTGCTTCTCCCATCCCCACCACACACGTTACAAAGTGCTCTCCAGGCTGGTTGTAAACTAAAGTGATGACTGGAAACACTGTTTAGGAGACCAGCAAATACTTCATGCATTCAGTTCAGGTCTTAACAATGTAGTGCAATGAAAAATGCACTTTACTTTCTTTTACTAAGCTCAAACAGTCATTAAATAGTCTCTGTGAGAGCACAGTAAAGATCAGTTTACTGCTGTTGGAAAGTTTTTCTACAAAGTAGATGTGTCTATAGTTGATTTAACTATACTATGTTTTTCTCCTTTTTTTTCTTTTTTTTAAACAGTACATCTGTCTTCACATACAATTTAAAACAGCTAACTCCCATATGCATGCACACACTTGATACATCAAGGTCAGGATGTTTTAAACCACTTCTCCCCCTTTTACTCTGCTTCAACAGAATTCAGTTACTGACTTTTAAACCCAAATTCAGTCTGCATCTATTATAACAACATACGGTACTGTTAAGAGTACACAAGGATCACAAGAAGCCTTCGGTATTTTTAAGTTGCAATATTGCAGCAGTGAGGTCTTAGATACCGCAGAGGCAAAGTTTTTAAGCAGCTGTACAGCGTTTTAGATCAAGAGCTGGAAGACAGCATACAAACTTTTGCCTTACTCAGTTAATCCAGTAAGGGGACATTTCACAAAGATAGCTGTGTGCTAGCGATTTTTAAAGCACATCAAGCACATGCTTGCTCCCAACTGGAATGTATGTGTTAGACTCCAAAAAAAAACCAGACAGCAGTAAGAGGACTTCTGGATGTTCACTACCTGCCAGCTCACTAACTTTTGAGGCTCAATTTTTTCCAGTCTCAGCAAGAAGGTACACCACCAGTCAAGAGCTTGTTACGCACTGCACATTAATCAAATCTACTTAATTTAATCAAAATTAATCAGGACTCCTCAAACATCAGCATTTCCAGTATCTGTGGGACCTCCAGTGAGGTCACCAGCCACAGGCACGCAACAAGTGCTGGGACATTAAGACCTGCTGTGGTCCCTTGTTAAAGAGATGGCAGCTGTGACAATCCCTCCCGTGGTGCAACTTCAGTTCAGTCAGGCACTGCCACGTTCCGCACCACGCTCAGCAGGAGAAACAAGGGCAGCAGCACTTTGCAATCACTCTGTTTTGTCTGAACGCAGCAGCAGCAGTGTGTAAAGCAGAAAACTTCCCATTGCACTTTTCTCTTCTGCTGTAGCTGAAAAAATAACAGGGTGTCATAACAACAGAGACCTAAACTCCACCTTTTGCTATCACTGGATGCAGTGCAGGAGGGAAGAAAGATGCTTTGTGATGGATCAAGTTCAGGCACAAAACATCCAGAGGGAACCGACCTTAAGGGAGCCATGGTGCAGGACTGTTGTGTTGGGTTTTTTTTAAGTTTATTGCACACAGGCATCCTCCTTGACCCGACTTCTAGAGAAAAGCCCTGATGTTTTAGATGCTCAAGATCACTAAGTCTTCCAAAAAAACAACAACAAAAAAGACCCAAATCACAGATCACCCAATCCACTCCCCAAAGTAAAAAATTCTGTATTTTTAGGGACCCCTTCAAATATGTTCTCAATGTCCTCTTCAACGACAACCACTTCAGCATAAATAGGAAAAAAACTTACGGTTCACTCAATAAATGACAGCAATAGTCAGTCAAGCAACAATGGTCCTAAAAAGCAACTACTGTTGCACAGGTATGTCTGAAGCTATATGCAAATGCTGCAACCCAAATTCTGTAAGATACTTACCTTGGGTCTGAAGTTGGTGGTTGGTCCTATATATTCATGCTGGGCTTTCACCGTTCCCCAAGGATGGTGTATTTTGAAACACTCATTGCAATAGCTTGCGCTGCAGTCCAGGCAGCTCTTTGTGGACTCCTGAGGTGGAGGTTTGCAGAAATCGCACATAATAGCAATGGCTGCCCTGGCCGCCTGTCTGTATCTTTCCACAATGGTTTCCAAAGTAAAGTTGCGAAATAAGCCATTGATGCCACGTTCTCCAAGATCAATATCCCGCTGGCAACCCGGACAATGAAACAGAGTCGATCTAGGAGTCAGTGAATTGCGTTTTCTGCCTGTGTTGACACCAAATCCTGATTTAGGAGAAGCATAAACAGAAGAGGTTTACATTTTAAACTCATGAACCAATTCCAAGCTATCGTAGCACATCATCCAAACCAGTACAATACCAATTCATATGCAGTCTGCCAAGCCAAAGAGAATACATTTGCCATGACAAGGTAGTGTAACGTCTGAGTCCAAGGGACATTACAAACTACTGCTCTAAAGCTTCATTCTATCTTAAGATGAATTTAGCGGTTCCAATCCTATCTTCTTCATCTAGTTTTGGATGCAGTCAAGCTGCAGCCTTTCGAAACACTAAACACAAGTCTCCCAGAAACCAGCTGGTTTTAGGCTAAATGGCTGCCTGTATAGAGAGCAACAGCTTTGTAACATATTGAAGTGAAAGATGCTTATTCCCAGAGTGAGACTAGTTATTCCCAAATATAGCCAGCTTTGAGCTCCCTAAAGTTTGTTTTGGCTGAGACAAACTTATCTGGCTCATCCCAAGAGGCATCATAAAAAAATAAACAGGCAAACAACACAACTAGATACTACCAGTACGAAATCTCAGCCAAATCATTTAGTCACAATACGCAGAGGCTGACTTGCCCCTTGCTGAATGGCCTTGATAAAGGAGGGCTGCTTAGTAAGCCCCGCACACCAAAGGGGATACCGAGGTGGTTACGTCTGAGAGGTTTCTCTGCCCAGAGCTGGGGAACCACGGATCTGCGCGGTTACACAGGGTACATCCATATCTTTTCACTTCAGAAGGGGACAGCAGAGAAGCTGCACTCCTACAAAACAGCTATGCACAAACTTTCCCTCCTTTCAAAAAAAAAGCTATCAAAGGCTCAAGTAACACCGCAAGCGTAAGGAGCCTTTGAAGCCTGCTCAAGGGGATGGCTCACACAGACCCAAAAGCTATTTACAGGGTAACATACTTGAGGCTTTCAAACAGGGAGTGCATCCCCATGTCTCACTCATGAACCCAGCAGGCACAACTGTCAAAAAGAGTCCTTTATGTATTTCTGAAGCAGGCTAAGCTAGTGTTTAGGCTTAACATGTATCCTCTTAGATTCCCCTTACAAAAAGATAAAAAACCATCCTCTGTAGCTGGAGCATGATTTTAAGATCCCTTTGGGAGGACTGCATGTTGGTATAACTAACAAATTTGTAAATGCAGGTATGGCTTCAAGCTGAATTCTTAGTCTTGAAATTGGTTCTTCTTCAGAAAGGGAAATTTGTTCTCATCTGTATTTAATCAGTGTTTTCCCATCAGATATGTTGATGCTTCATTTCTTTTTGAAGTGTCCTTTGATGCTATCCAAAAGACACTTGCCATGTGCTGCTCTCCTGTGACTGCCTCACCCAACAATCCAAAACCTCCCTTCCTATAACGCCCTTTCCAGCCTCTTTAAAAAAATCAAACCAACACTCCCGTAAGGAACTAGTTCTTTTAAAAAATCTTTGAAATGCACCCCATGATAGTTATGCAAGACCGTCAGCCAAGAAGCCACAACCAGAGCATGAGTACGTGTGTACAAGCTGGCAGTCTCAAACTCAGCTGGTCTCGTACCTCTCTGTCGGTTTTCAGCAGAACAACTGGACTGCATTTACAGCACAGCATGGGTGACACAAGGCACTGGTATACAGCTCTCTGGTGACAGGAAGCAGAGATCTTTTCCTCCTACTTTTTTTTTAGTACTTACTTGAAGTGAATTAATTACCCAAAATGCACGTCCTGCGGTACCTGTAACTTGGCATACACAGCAACACACACATGCAATGCACAACAACAGCTGTGAAACACAAAGTGTATTTGCACTGTATGCTCCAAGCTAGCACTGCACACAGCAACACAGAGAGACCTTCTACACAGATTTCTACAATGGCCTAAACAAAAAAGATGATTTTGCATGCAGTGCCATGCAGTCAACAGCTACAGAAAGGGATCTGGAGTACTTACATTTGCTAAAAGTAAGAAAACAATGACACAGTGTCGTACGTACAGAGACTGCCTATAAGCAGTATGCTATAGGAGAGAGCGAGCAATGAAAAAGCAAAGTAACAAGAAAAAAAAAAAAACAAGACATGGTGCAGTGGTCAAGTTTAAAAATACGATCTGAAATTCGTTTCCAGTAGCATGCTTTTGAAGTCTGGCCCAAGCGGCTCAAACGTGGAAGCGGTGTTTGTTTAACTCAAAGGTGAGTTCAGCTGCATCCCAACGGAGGCCTTTCATTCTGCCCGTGGCGGACCGAAACGAGACCGGCATCACGAGCCATGCTCTGCGAAGACTGGTGACACTCTGCTTATGGAAAGCGATCCAGTGCCAAGGAAGTCCTGCGCACCTTCAGATGTCTCATCCCTTTTCACTCACAGCACTCCAAGAGCCTAGGGTTGGTTTTTCTTCCCTTGTTTTAACCCCTGTTAGTTTACTTGCTAAGCTTCTTGGCATGCTCTGCCACTTCAATACTTCAAGTTTGGAAACATTCTCTCTTTGACTAGTGCATGTTAAAATATTAACATGCAGTAAGAATCACTGTCCTTTCTGCTTACAGGATTTCTACACTCGTACTTTAAAAAGAAAGCACTGATGAAGTGATAAATTACTTTGAGCAGTATCTTTCCTGTCTATCTTGTGTCCAGTTTGCTAAAACTGAATTCTGCTTACACAGAAGGAAAAAAAAAAAACCCCAAAACATACAAAAAAATGGAGCTGCAAACCCCATGGATTTTGTAGACATACTGGATGTGCAGCTCACAAAAACTTCAGTCCTTCCCACATTCTCTTTTACACGCTGCCAATCCGGTTTACAACAAACACGCGCGCATTTTGTGGAATACTAGGAATCATCACCAGAAATTTCCAACTGTCATTTGTAAACAGGCTGCTCCCCTTGCAATGAATAGCTCAAACAGCAACTAAAAAAAGCACAAAATACGTTCACGCTCATGACTGAGCATGTTCATGCTCAGACTCCAACCTCACAAATATTACGATACAGATTGCAAAGACTTAAGTCAAAGAGCACTCTTAAGTACGTCTTTAAAGACAATATTTAAATGTCCTCTTCCTAAGCAGAGGTACCAACCCTTAAAATGTTGAAAAGCCCAACCTGCAGCTGATTGTTTGCAAAGGGATAAGACATCTTAAAGATAAAATTGTGTTTTCCAAGTAAACAGTATCACCAGAATTCTCTGGTTATGGAAGACACGGAAGTTAAATGTGTGAGAGTTTAAAAAAATAAAGATTTTAAAAGTCAACTGGATTCTCATAAAAGTTTTTCAAAAAATACGTATGTACGTTGCCACCCCCCGAACTCAGTTAATGCTTTTGGACTGATTTTTAGGAAGAAAGTAAAAAAAAATGTGACAGAAGTCAGCAGCTGCAAAATGTCATTTTCAGATACTTTAACTTTCCCCAAATCAAGGGTGCCTTCTGCAAAAAGAGTAGATAAAGATAGCTTTCCAAGAGCTCTGACGGTGTCCTACGGTATCTTTGTTTTATGACACTTTTAGTCTTCCACTGAGGCAACTTAAACTTCCCCTTCTGATTAGCTGCTTTGTCCTCCACTGAGTGTGAAATTCAGATTTGTGTTTAGCTCAGTTCATGTCTTTTTTGAAGGACACGGTATTTCTACGGATTGCTGATGTGCCTGCCAATATTATGGCAGCATGGAGCTTTGGGGTTTTTTTTTCCATTTTTAACAGAGCATCACATCCAAAAAAGTATTTATGTTAACAAACCCACATAGTGGCTGAGATGCTTAGACTAGCTCAATTTTGGAAATTAGACGTACTTAGAACAAAGAGACACTGGCTATCCTTCAACCTGACTCTGTCACCAAGCATGCCAAACATTACAAGTGTATCAATTTAAAATATTTCATTTTCCTCCTATATTCATGTGCCATGCTAATCTGCCAGATCCAGAACTACCTACACAGATTCACATGGTGGAAATTTCAATCTGCTTCTCTATCAAATTATGCGGGCCCAGATACAATGAAGAACCGGTATTACCTTACATTTAGAAGTCAAGGCGAACCATGACCTCTCAATGTTACCAAAATCAATCTAATAATTACACTTCACTACAAGCAAGACAGCAGTTTTACTGAAACTTGAGCACATAAACTCTTGAAAATTAAAAAGCGGGGGTGGGGTGGGGTGGTGACTACTGTTTTTTTGTTTCAAAGGGGAGAGAGAACGTGCGTTTTTGCACCCATTAATGTATGTTCAGTCATGCATACACATAAGAAAAAAAATATAATCCAACCCTTAACTGAATTCCAGTCCAGTTGACCTTTAAGTCAGTGTGAAACAGAATGAAAAGCTTTCCTTATAGAAGTCCTTTGCTGTACCTTTGCTCACTGCAAAAGCCATTTTGTGGACTTGACCACTGACAAAAAGCTATATGCTAACCAACAATATTTAACTCAAGATCTAAATGCTAGACTATCTCTAGCCAATATAAGAAGTGAAGCATTTCTACCTCTCCACCCAAAAGACCTCCTCTGTGAGGCTGTGAACAGTGAACAGAAAGCTGTTTAGAAATCAAAAAATAAGATACACCATTGGCTTACAATGGTTCAGATGAAAAGCATCAACTGTTTTCTCTCCTGTGGCTGCAAACTACTGCAGGGCTGAAAGGCAAGAATGTTTAATTTCCTAGCGCATGAAACAACTGCAGTATTTAAGTAGAACAGAAAAAGCGAGAAAGAAGAAATGGGGGGAGGAGGGGAGGGCAGGGAGAGGTACTTCAGACATTCAGTTTCTGCATCATCCATCAGTGCTGCACAAGTGTCAACGTAACCACATTACACGCTTTACTCTAATTACACCAACATTGTGATTACACTAACATTACAGAAAATGGATTAGCAATAAGAAATAACCTTTATTTTCATTTTATATGCAACATAATTTTTTTAATGAGAAATTCTTTTATATACAACATAAACAGTGGGGGTTTTTTAAACCATAAACAGTGGGGTTTTTTTTAAACCAAGGCATTATACTTTAAGCAGCATAGGCACTCCTTTTTAGCTGAAAAAGAGTTCCGGCCTTTTTTACACTAAGATAAATTGTATTTCTAAATGCAAGCTGTGTGTGCACAACAAATACAGGATGTGGACCCGTTCCTTCTGGCATCTCAAGAATTCAAATGCCCAAATCATTTTAAATAGATGATACTCCTCATGGAGATCGCAGGGATTCCTCGAATGAAAAAAGAAAAAACCCACAGTGGGAGGAAGGCGTCGTACACATTTTCAAATATAACAATAATGTCTTGACAGTGACATGCCCTGCACAAGGCTACCAGAAATTCTAGTGGCTTTTTTGTTATACGTGTGAGGCCCCACTTTGGGTGTTTTCTTGTACTTTTTTTCTCTTACGGAGCTGGTTTACTACAAATTCCCCTACGGATCACAAAACGAGTTAGGCGCACGCAGTGTGCAGCATGGGTACTTCAGGTGCAAGGCCAGAACTGTACAGACGTTAAGCTGCAAGTTGGCTGAACGCCGCTGGTACCGAGCGCCTGAGAGCAGACCTCACGCCTCACGCGGCACGCGGCGATGGAGCCGTAACGCCTGCAACATCAGAAGCAAAGACAGAACAATGTGAATGTCCAAATGCATTCTTTAAAGCTCCCATTTCCATATGCTTTTAATTTTGTAAATCTGAGCTGTCTGAGATGGTAATTTTCCTGTGACGTGCATCTGCCCAACGCTCTCTGGGAGGAAGGGGAAAAAGCCCATCACTTCCAAGTCTCAACACTACCTTGCTACTCATCAAACAGGTACGAAGTCTTTAGCAAAGCATTCACCTCCCTCTCCTAGCAGATCAGATGAGGAGGTAACACACCTAGTTCCCCATCAGTTTGCTGGGATGGTGGCAGATTACTGTGGATTTGAAGATTACAAGCCCTGCAACAGCCTCTGTGTATGGATCGCAGGGGGGCAGGAGCACCAAGAAGGGGTCTTTCCTGCCCTGTCTTTAGGGGTGTAACAAAGCAGTAATGCTAAACCTCACGAGAAGGGCAGCCAACAGCGCAGCACTGCGCACCGAACTCTGCAAATCTAGCAGTAATTAAATGCCAGGTCCCCACGGGAGCCCTGCCTCCTCCGTGTGCCGCGTGCGGGCCATGCCACGCTAGATCACTATCCCTACTGGCCTGGGAGATGCAGGACCACCTCCTCGCTTCGGCTGCGCCCCGCGTGACAGCCCCACGCTTGGCAAGACACAGCGTTCGTGGGGAGGTTGCCCACGGCACGCCCGCCACTCCCCAGGTGCTCCAACGCCTGCACTGTGAAAGCATAGAGGGGACAATGGCCGCCGTGGAAACCGGTGACCGCTTCAGGCCATGCATGCCATGCCATGCCAGACACGATGCTCACTGAGGGAGGACAGGGATAAGCTCGGGTTTGGGAGAAGGCAGTCACCGTCAGGCTGCCTTCCCTCCAAACGCCACATAACGCTGCAGTGCGAGCAGGCTCAGGAAGCAGCCCAGGCGTGTGCCTGTAGAGCTAAACAGTGACCATGGGGCTGTGCACCCCGCATCCAGAAAACAGGGCTGCAGTGAAGACCACTAGCCGTTTGGTTCGGGGATCCCCTCAACCAGCCAAGCTACACAGCAAGCACAGCGGTCGCTTATCAGACTGATTGGAAAAGAGCCCCGGTACTAACAGCTCGGGAGTCGTTTACAAGAAGCGGGTGAAATAAAGCATCTGAACTTTGAAAACTGGGGAGGATGAACGTCAGTAGCACACGAAATGCAAGGTGCAGCTCTGGGGATCATCTTGCAGGTGACTCTTCCGGTGCACCGCAGACTGCGGTCTTAAAGTGGGTAATTATGTCAGAAGGAAGCCTGAAAGCCAACATGAGGTTTCTTTGAAGGAGTCTAACACGCACAAAGCGCTTCCGATGTATCTGTGTAAAAGCAGATCAACTCATCCGTGGGTTACACGGACGGCTGAAAGAGTCTTTCTAGTGTGATATCACAAAGGGCACGAGGAGCCCTGCAGCTACGTGCTCCTTCGAGCTTTGGGCAGGCTGCACTGACAGAGACCGTGAGCGCAGTCTTCCTACAGTCACCCGTCCTCCGACTCTGCAACTGCACGATGACCATCATCTACGGAAAATGACTTATCGTGAGCATATCGAAATGGGCAAGGCAAATCTAACATTTGCAAAGTCAACCGAGGCTCGGAAGAAAGTCCCAACTACTGAATTTAGGCTGGCCGAAACCTGAGAGAACTACCTCAACAGTACTACCGGCAGGCAATAAAATTGCAGGGATCCGCATCTCGACGCTATGGAACGTGACACTATGGCTTCTCGGTGTAACTGAAATACAGGAACAAACAGACACAACAGCCACAAAGATTTACAGGATGCCATGAGGATAGATCCCTTATATATGAAACAAAGTGCATTGTCCTTAAAAATATTCCCATTGCTCTTGCTAGAGAATGAACAAGACTCACACTATGCCCAAGTCATCTCTTTACCTGTGTCAGGAGCAATGGGAAGACATTTTACCAGTGCAGACACCATTCAGCTCAAGTCAGTCCAATACACAAAATTAGGAAAACACGCAAAAATTCTGATACGTACCTGATCTACTAACCCTGTCAATTCTGTCTGTGCTAGAAGAAGAGATTTTAATTCGAGGGCTGCTCTGATTAGAGGATTCAGAGCCTCCATCAGCGAAAGAGTCTTCGAACGCAAAGAGTATTTCTTTGACACACTTGTGACAGACATTGTGCTGGCAAGGAAGGATCAGCGGGTGGGTAAATAACTCCTCGCACGCCGGGCAGATGAGCTCTCTTTCGATACCCTTAATGGCAACCTTCATGACAGAAAGAGGGAAAAACAAGCATCAGCGTAGAAAGCGCGAGCCAGCGAGGCTTGCTTGCAGCTGTGTGTCACCGGACCCCAGCCCTGTGGAATGACGGCTGCGCGCAGTTGTAGCTGGCTGGAGGCAGTCCCCAAACACATCTCAAATTAACATTTACGAACGCACCGGCGGCGTTCGTCTCTCCGCTGAAACGAACACCGCCACCGGGCAAACCCAGTTCATCTTCAGGTCACGCCTGCATTGCAGGGGAGGAAAGGACGGGAGGGGACCAGCTCTGATTCCCCTCCAGGACCCAGCGCAACAAAAGCCACCCTGCTCCGCACAATGGGCACCCACGCGTTTCACCCGGCTCGCTCGCTCGCTTTCCAAGCAGGGGAGGATTTGGGGGGGGGGAAGAAGAAAAAAAGAGAGAGAAACCAGGTGTGAGACCGGTGAGACAACAGGCTCCCCCGCCACGCAGTTCACCCCCAGGGAC